TTGACCACAGAACTAATGACTTTTATTTTTAAAATTGGTCTCGATTCCTAGAAAGACAAAACATCTGATTACTCTTACTTTCCAAGTTGACCTTAAACTTGAGCAGGAAAGTGAAGCCATGTTTTCTTGTGTTGTTTCCTCAGTAAAACAACATGTCTGGAGAATGATAATGTTTAAATTAATTTTATTTATCTTGACTATTTCATCAAGTGAAAGCACAACACAATAGTCCCAGCTGCAAGAAATATCATTGGCAGCAGAGCGAGCACTGACTTTTTGGACCCTAAGATTTTTTTTAATCCTCACCCAAGGATACATTTACATTTATCTCCAGACAGAATGGGAGGGGGAGAGAGAGAGAGAAAGATGCTGATGTGAGAGAGACACATCGACTGGCTGCCTCCTGCACAACCCTGAATCGAACTGGGACTCCCCGGTCCACAGGCCAACACTCTAACCGCTGAGCCAAACTGGCCAGGGCGGAGCTAAGATTTAAAGGGGGTAATGCTGCAGCTCTAGAAGGAAAAGGAAACTGCAAAATGGTGTGCGAATGTCAGAAACGGGAATAGAGGAGTCAAGATCTAGTGCCTTTAGCTTCAGAGAGGAAATTTCCATTCCAATCTCCAAAGTTAGCTTTTTCAGGGACAGCTTTAGCTTTACATTGATGCACATTTTATTATTTTATTACATATGACATTAGTTTGCATCTGTACATAGATTTGGACTGTGTTGAAAGGTTTAAATTCAGTCACTCTTTTCTCAAAGACAGAGTCTCTATGCAGGGCGCCACACAACTGTCCATCTCTGGAAAAAGGGGTCGACTGGGATCATGTTGCTGAACCAAAATGACCACAATAATACTAACCAATGCTTATGGGAGCTCATCTGTGCTTTATATCACAATAATAAACATCTTAAAGTATTAGATACGACTGATAATGAGTGAGAAGTTTCTATACACATACAATATTGTTTGATCTTTGTGACAATCTTATGAGGTAGGCATGACTTTTCCCACATTTTACAGACACTCGGGGAGATTGAGAGTCTCTCTACAAGTAGGCTCCAGTTGATGGAAAACTAGCATTTGAATGGGGATCATCAGAGCAATGCTATTGAAAGATGCTGCATCCTTCCACCTCAAATAGTCACGTGGGAATGCACTGCTAACAAAAATAGAGTACCTGGATTTCATCACAAGGGACAAAGGTTGCACTTGTCCATTCTGTCCTTTCTTCAGTCAAAATTCATTCAAAGTCTGCAGTGAGTGAGACAGTCAGCAGAGTCGGGTCTCCTGGTCTGTAGGCCAACTTCTTCTGGACTCTCTCCCTCTCCTGACTTTTGCTCCATAAGATGATAGGCTTTGGAACTTGACCAACCCCTCCCCGCTGGCGGTACCTGAGGGGTAGGGGTGGGGGTTGGGGGGTGCTGTCCTCTGTGCTGAGAAACTTCGCTCCTGGAGGCTCAGGTAGTTTGGTGCCTTCTCCCTCATCTCCAGCCCGGGCGCACTCTGTTGGGAGCTACCTTGCTGTCCTAAAACTGCTGTTTTGTCATCTCAAACTACCCTCAGCGCTGGGAAACAGATCCCTCCGCCCAAGAGGGACTCTGCAGGGAGCATCTTGTCTCCCTGGCTTTTCCAAGGACATTCTGAGAATGTAATATTCTTACCCTGATATTAGAGCATTTTGGTTCCTGCAAGGAAACCGAGCTCATCAGGTTCCACAGCTTCAGGACTGGTGGCCACCAGCAGTATTTGGACATTGGAGGAGCCTAAAAATCTTCCTAGGCTAATAGTTACACTTGACAAGTAATGTTGTTTTTTTCCAGGCTAAGTCTTTACTTCGGGTGGTGCCAATGGCTGGAGGCCCTCTATGGGACAGCTTTAAAATGTGTTCTTCCCCAGACACAGTAGGTGGAGGTTTAAGAGATGGGCCTGCCACTTACGTGCCTTAACTGACGGAGTCCTCACATCAGTACCAACCCATCCTGTGGCCTCTTAGAGGTCAGAGGAAAGGGGTGTGTGTGTGTCGGGGGGGGGGGTGACACTCCACTGGGAAGAGAAGCTTTGATCACATTTGTTCTTTGCAAAGTGCATTTTTATAGGCTTTTTTATGTTGTCTCCTCTGTGATTTTTTTTGTTGTTGTTGCAATTTTTAGGCAAGTCACTCATTACTTTCTGACCATTTCAGCCCCTCTATGAACAACATATTAATTAATTAATTTATTAATTAATAAACATATATTACACTCTCCCATATGTTGGTTATTATTGAAGTGGTGTAAATACAAACTACCTAGGTATAATCTAATCCAAACTGGGCACAAGGGATATCTTTATTTTTAAAATTATAACTTAAGCTAAGATACAAAATTTTCAACAGCTTTTAAAAGACAAAACTTTAGTTGTTCCTCAGCTTTTTCTTGCAAAATGGTTTATTTGTGAGAGACACTCTCCACTACACTCCCTGAAATTCAACTCACAGATAATTTATTTTTGTTTTTTGGTGAATTAAAATTTTTTGGTTTTGTTTTTTAATTTATTTTTTACTTTTTTAAATTAATTTTCTTTTGTTACAGATGTTTCTCCTTCCCCCCCTCATTGACACCCTCCTCCCGATCCTGCCCCCCCCCCCCCGTCCCCAGCATCGTTGTCTATATTTATGGTTAAGCATACCTGCATATAAGTTCTAATGATTGAGCACCTACTGTGTGCTACATGCTAAGGTTTTCAGAGGTGAAAAAGAGAGTCATGGTTCTTGCTTTTATGAAACACAACTAAATTACATAACTTAGAAACCTAGAATTAAAAGTTAGATGCCTCCTCTCAGAGACTTAGTGAGCACTAAAACTACACATTGACAGTGTTCTTACATGTATTTCTTTTGTTCAGACACAGAATCGGCTGTCAGTAAAACAGTACTATTCTTTTTTTTGAAACCTGCTCATTTATAGGTATTAAGCAGATGATACTACTATCATACGGAAACGTATTGAATCTCATTGCTGCAGGGCAGGTTTTCTATCCGGAGCTAAGTACTGAGTAGCCCATTACTACAATTCAAAGATTGTCTTTCATTTAGTAGGTAATGTCCTCGTGACAAAATTACAACCTAACCTATGCTTTGACCTCAAACACACTGAATTATCTTCAGTAGTACCAAAAATCACTATAAAATTAAACATTCAGTCTAACATACAAATATTTTAGTTCCAAAGTCAAAAAGTTATCTAATGTGTATTTAATGTGAAGTAAAGAAATATTTATCAAAACAGTCCCTTAGCGGACAGTGTGGGCCCTAAAGGAGCACCAGCGAAGAAACCAGTTTTTGTTGTTAGAGTCAGTTCTTGGCAGTGGGTTCTACAAAGGCACCAGGGAAAGGCCAAGATGTGAAAATCCCACTTCAAAGCAATGAAACCTTAGACACATTTGGACCAAACTGCTCTTCCCACCTAGCTGGCACACTTAGGCGGGTATTATTACACCCTAGTAGTGGATTAGGAACATCTGTTTAAAGACACATGTTGGTGTTTGAACTGTATTTCAAGACTGGAAGGGACCTTGATTCATCCAGTGTAAGTCCCTCAGAGTTGGAGTAAAACCAAGGTCCAAGGAGAAGTGACTTATGCAAAATGACATAATTGGCAGATAGTGGCAGAACTGACCACCAGAAATCAGGTTTTCTCAAACCTAATGTACCCAGTAGATTTCTCTGGGCATAAAAAAAAATTGCCCCGGGTACTTAAAAATGCAGGTCTCTGTACCTGTCCTCAGAGATTCTAGTTGGGAAGGGCTGGGGAGGTGCCCGGAATTTACTGCTGATAATACAGCAGGTCGGGAGAGCACACTTTAAGAAATGCTCTGAAAATCCTTTAAGATTGAACTATTTCAAAACTCAAATGTTCAGGTAGTGTGAGAATGATTTCAAAGCACAGTTTTTAAGACACTGTTATTCTCCCACTCTTTCTAAGATACTCAGTGTTCATGTAAAATGCACAACCGACAGAAGTCGAAGTCTGCTCACTGTCCATGCAGACACAACTCCCAGTGAGCTCGGCGATGGGGAGCGGACCAGAGACTCTGACCATTCTATCACGTCACCAGGTCAGCCAGCTAATATATTTCTAAGGCAATGAGAGAAATATTTTATTCCCCAAAAAAAGAAAAAAAAATTGAAAATGCAAAATTTTGTAACCACTAAAGATTTTTTAACATAAGTAAAAATTCTTATTTGCTATTTAATAATGTATCCCCTTTGTCTCTTAATAAATATTTACTGCATATCTACCAGCCAGACTTTTAGTTAACATCTATTTTATCTGAGGTGTTTTCAAAATATCTCCCAAAACAAACTAGGAGTCAGGTGGGGAGCTCTGTTAGCTTCCACAGCAGTATTTATGGTTTCAAGAAAACATACAGAAATGTTTTGATATTATGCTATAAATTTTAATGTTTATAAATTTATGAATTATTAATGTTTATAATTTTAATAGGGTCCTGAATTAAAGGAAATCTTCACAGGTAACACAACAAAGCAGTTATTAGAATCATAGTTCACCAAAATAGAAAATGACTTTTGTAGGCTGAGATTTATATTAAATCCAAAAATTCAATTCTAATCACAATGTTTTACATTGAGTGATATACTCCTGTAGGAATTCTCTGTGGTAAATATAAAGCTAGAATGAAGCAGGTCACCAATTAATTAACTTGGATAAAATGTGACATTGTTCATTTTAACACAATTGAGAGTATGTGATTATCGTCTCTGAACCAAAGATGAACCCAAAAGATCCACCATTGTGCGTCTGGGTACGTATCAATATGCTGTCATTTTAGATCATGTAGATGTATTTGTTGATCTCCACCTTGCTCAAAAATAATTTAAGGTTATCATTTCAAATTAAGGTTTGATTTTCAGATTCTCTCAGATAAAATAAAAGAAGTTGTTGGATTTCCATCAACAGATTCTCAGTTGACAGACCCAGTCCTGTCCATAGCTTCACTTTATTTTCTGGAGGGCACTGCAAAGGATTCCAACTTCACCTGCAAGAAACAAACCAACAGATGAGCCACTCATATCGTAAACTAACACCCTTCAAGTGTCCACCGTGGGTAAAGCCCTGGGAAATCATCAGGACACATGGAGATGACAGGCACCACCCCAACCCTCGAGGAGCTCATGGCTCAGCTATGGTGATAGAATTTGGGCAGTCATGGCTTAGGTAGTCACAAGTTTCAGAAAATGCTAGAGCTATTAATGTAATTAGCGTCCTCTTTCCATGGGCTGTTTCTCGGGAAAGGAGTTAACAGCTTTCTCCCCCGGAGAAATCCCCAGCTGTTCTGTTTCTCTTTTACATGACCACCCATTGATGCTTGCAAAGAGTTCCGCCATTGAACCTGAAAGCGTGGTTCATATACACTTCCTGTGGCACAATAACCTAGGACCTTACTACAAATACAAACTCCCAGCCTCACCACAAACTTAGTGAATCTAGTCTAGGGCTCTGACTCATGACTATTCATTTTTAACTATCACCCCCAATAATTTTGATGCACACTGGGTTTGAGAATGTACAGTCGAAGCAAATAACTCAGCCTAGACCACTGGACTAAGGTGTGATGGAACCACTGCCATTTATGCCGTGTTCTACCTGGAGATGCTATTCTCCTTAATTAAATGTTTAGTAAATGTCTTACTGTTCCTACAGTGAAGGTAAGAAACCACAACCCTTTACTTCTGAGCAAGAGAGTGGCCTCAAAAGGTATGTTACTTACTGTTGATGGAGTCAGCCAAAATCTCCAGTTGCTGGGCACTGTCCAAGACCTCAATCCTTTGGGTGTATGGGTCATAACGAACTGAGAAGGGCCGCGGGATTGTAGCAGCAAAGTTCCTAAAATCAAAACCACAGATCTGAGCGAAGGCCACCATTTGGGGAAAAGGTAATTCTGAAAGAGTTCTCAGTGGCATTTCACTTGACTACTGGTAGCACTGAAAACCCACTAGAAGGGGGTTTCGAAGCCAGGCCGAGAAGTGAGGTGAACTTTTAGTGAGGTCCTCTTGGGAACCCTTTGTTGTTTGTGTGTCTGTGTATTATACAAACACATACATGCACATATTTACTTGGCCACCTACCTCCAAAAAGACAGAGGCAGCCTACAATAAAAGCCCAGGTTACAATAAGGCCAAAATTCTCATCATACAATAAAATGAAATGAAATGAAATGAAATGAAATGAAATGAAATGAAATGAAATAAAATAAAATAAAATAGAGTAAGTAGAATCCAGCTAAAGAATGTTATAGAAAAAAATAGGCTCTGAGATGTTTGGCAAACAGTGTCAGGAGGGAACTACATCTCTCAAGAATTGAAGAAAACACTACATTAGGAATAAATTTAGCACAGCTTAAGTGCCTCCCGTGTACCAAGAACTATGTTAAGTTCTTACTGTTCTGTAGTCTTTAAAATTATCATTCTTATTTTAATCTTCATTAAAACCATAGCGTAGGCTTGGGGGTTTGGTGGATGAACAAAATGTAACTTGAGGTATGCATTCTCACAGCCTGGCCAGCTAAGAATCAAAGTATGTATGTGAATTGATAAGATATAGGTGATATGGGTTCGGAAAGCCACCCTGAGAGCACCAAAGGGCTTATCGCCCAAGCTTGAATGTATTTGTTATGTATCTCTGCTGAAAACAGTGAGAGACAGGAAGTATGCTGGGCTTGACTGTAAGGTCAGCAGAGATGTGATCTCAAGGAATTAATTACCTAAAACACCATGTAACCTAGGGAACCACTTTGCAAATAAATTGGGCTGCATCCAGAGATCTGAAGCATTTGCTCCCTTGTGATGCTCCCCCTCACTCCAAGCAGTGTTTGCTTGTAGTTCATTGCATTGCAACAACCCCTGGCAGGCCAAGAGAGTCAGCACCATAGGAGGAAGGTACTATCTTTATCCCCTTTTTACAGATGAGGAAACTGAGGCTTGGGGAAGCTAAGTGATGACCAAGGCCACACCAGCCTTGTGAAACTGGGAAGAGACCAATCTGACTCTTCACTAGCCCTGTGTTCTTCTTCATTTCTCCTGGGTCTGGGAGAAACACACCATGAGGGCCTTATGAGGGACATGAAGTGATACAGTGATTAAGTTCTTCCAAAATGACCTATGAAATGCAAAGATATCACAAATGATATTTCTACTTTGGCTTCTGGTGACGGCAGAAGCTGCCATACTGAGAAGACAATCATAAGGGAGGCTAGTGGGGCTCTCCAAGTTTAGCAAGACTGGTGGGGCATTGTGGCTGGATACCCAAGATCCACAGCCAGAATACCTGGGTTCATATCCTGCCTCTGCCAGTGACAACCCCTGTGGCCATGGGCAAGGGTTCCTCTGTACGTCGGTTTCCTTGTTCCTCTATAAAAGAGAAACAAGAGCAGGACTACCTCAGAGGGTTGTAGCACGTGTGGTTATAGTACAGAGTGCGTGCTACCTGTGTGTTAGCTATTGCCTTTCATGAGTGACTGAGGACTCACAAAGAATAAGTGGTTAAGTATACTTCTTCATGTCTTCTCCTCAGAAAAGAGCTCTCTCAGCCCAGCTCGTGATATGAACCATGTCATGCACCCTTGATTGTGTTCTGTGCCTCTTCCCTCTTATTCCCACTGTGCACCCCAGTTTTGCTTTGGGCCATCTATCTCTCTGCCTCACTCATGTGCTTCAGTTGAGCAATCGGTCTCAGCGCCCAGCCCTCCTCTGGCCAAGGAGTGGGAACATGACCATACCCAGCCTGGTCTCTGCCTAGAACTTGAATCTTGAAACTGAAAAGAGGTTGGTGTTGATTTCCCTTAATTGGAAGACTCGGTGGGAACCCCAGAGGTGCCCAGATCCCTTCCCTTTTGGAGTCTTTTTCTTTAGAGTGCTCTTTGGTTATGTAAGCCACCTCTCAGCGGGATGGACCTTTCGGGGATGTCTCCTCTGGGCCCTGGACACTAGCAACACAGGTGGGATTTCAAAGACCTGAGAGGCCCTGGTCCTGGCAAGCTCTTCCTTGTTGGTCTGGACTGATTGCTTCTTGGGTTAGGAGCCCTCTCCAGTAAGGCCCATCCAAATGTGATCTCTGTGTGAAAGGTCCTGGTTCTGAGCCCCACTGCCCAAGTCTAAAACCTGAGTCGGCCACTTACTAGCTGCATATGACCCCGGGTTGGTTATTTAACCCCTTCTATGCTTCTGCACTGCCATTCGCAAGCATTGCAGTCTTATTTGAAGATTAAGTGAATCAATACATGAGTACTCAGAACAGTGTTTGGCACATAATAGGTGGTGGGCATCTTACCTGCTGTTGTTGCTGTTATTATCATTATTGTTACCCAGGTGCCATGATGCACTAATCCACCAAAATCCATAACCTTAAAGGAATCATAGAAATGGAAGAGCAGAGCCTTTAGAGGCTAGTAGGAGCTAGGCCCACAGAGAGGGGTGGAGGCTCAGGAGAGAACTGGAAAAGAGTGGAAGGAAGGACTTCAGAACCCTGAAGTGAGGGGAACAAAGGGAGTCATTTCAGGCTGAACTGTGTAGACTCATGGCCAGCGTTTTACCTTTCATTACCTAAGCCCAAAGCATTGAAAGCTGACATACTCAGCTTCACAGGATCCCAGAGGCCTAAATACCTCATGCCTCTCATCCATCATGGAAAAGATGTAGAAAAACATGTGGTAACAAATGGTGACTGTCAGCGTAGCCTTGTCCAGGTAGACCCTCTGCCCGGCCTGTCTCCTGCTGGTAAAAGGCAGGGCTATCAGCTCAGAGGGTTGAGAGTTGAGTCCTGGTCCTGCTCCAGCAACCTCGTGCTGGCCAGCCCCTGAGACTGGTGCATTTGCTGATCACTTGTTGAGAGCCTACTTTGTGTCGGGCAATGTTCTAAGGGCTGGGGGAAGGGCAGAAAACAGAAATGACAAAAGCCCTATCCTCCTGGATCTTACATCATATAATATAGTAAACATGAGTAAGTGATAAAGAGAAAAATAAAAAGGAGTGCTGGGGTGGGGCTGAGCGATGATTTTAAATAAGTTGTTTGGAGAAAGGCGCACAAAGAAGGTTAAAAGTGAGTGGAGATTTGAAGATGGGGGAGTGAGTTCTGCAGGTGTCTGGGAGAATAAAGTGAACAGGGACTTTCCCAGGTTATAAGATTTCAAGGACTGATTTGGTGGAGGGACCTCTGTGGCCACTGTGAACACAGGAGGGCTCAGTGTGTGGACTTGGTGGCTGCACAGAACAAGGATCAGGAGGCTGAGTAGTCCGCAGGGATCAGCATGTCCAGACAATAAGCTGTGAAACAGAGTCTCGCCAAGGAACACTCCCAACAGAGCATGTGAAGGCACGAGGGCAGGAGGCTCTGTCGGCCGCACGCTGTTGCGGTGGACATTGGAGTCCACCTCCTGGCCAACCACCCGCAGGTCATTGGCACCAGACCCAAGTCAGGGGGTCCCAAGAGCTGCTGACCCGCCTCAGTTGCCGCCTCACCTGACTTTCTCCTTGGCATCGTTAAAACTCTCAGCCACATAGTACAGGGACTGGAACTCTGTGATCGTGTACTCCTGGATGGCTGTCTTCTCCAGATCCAGCGGGAGGAGAGTCGGCTTGTCCGACAAGCAGTACTGCAAACATCAAGTGGAAGATTTTCGGTTAAATTGGGGCCAGCGTTCCCTGTCACATCTCACAGGCCATTTGTACATTTTCTCCCTTCTCACCCTGATTCCTCCCAGCTCCAGCCCAAATGCAGTAAACTAAATTACTTTGCATCTACTATATCCTACCCTTGATAGCTCATCTAACACCAAGATAGAAAGGAGTAATTCACTCCAACCACTTTCAAGTAAGGTGATCATCAGACAACGTGGGAACCAACCACATTTCCTGGCATGTGTGTGCACACCTCTGTATGCACAGTCCAGCCTTGGAATGAGGAGGCCCCTCTGTTCTGGAGACCTGTGAACCTTTCTAACACCCACACTGGTGATCAGATCATAGATGCTAAGGTACCAATCTCTTAAGGTTAATCTCCTGGGTTGAATCACAAAATAGTTGTATATGGGGTTTCCATAACACCATGAAAAAATGAATGGTCAACTGTTTTCATTGTTTTCAAATCCATGGTTGGTTCCTATTAGGGTCATACCTGTAATTCACCGAAGGACGACAGGAGCCCAGCACCATATGCCTTTATGGAGCCTCCTTGTTTGCAGAGCCCAAACTCCACAGTGAACCAGTAAATCTGGAAAGGAAAATCAAGTTCAGAGCACACCCTTAGGCAGGTGAAGGCAGCAGATGCCCCAGGATCAAGGACAGGTCTGGCCAGGGAGAGTTTGTGCAGGTCTGCTCGCTAAATCAGAGTGACCTGGGGACACCTCTCTGTCTTCTGTGTCTCCCTCTAACCAATCACCTGTTGCATCAAGAGTTGGCTGAATGCAGGATGTGACAGGAAGCTGTGATCATGGGGGAGAGTCTTGAGGGAGCCCAGAACGTAAACCCCTAACCAGTTCCTCTCCCTAGGCCAAGAACCCCTCCACCACTCTTACTTTCTTCTTCGCAGAATCAACTAGACTGAGATATCCCTTATGCTGGTTGAACTCACCAGGGAATCCCACCAGGCTCAGCAGTGGGAGGCAGGGGCTTGGAGGGTGACAGAATCAATGAGGGGTCATCTCCTCATCTGTGCTAAACTTGGGGTTTCTGAATTACCTCCTGTCAATCACTGCATCCACACACATACACTTTTTGCCCAGAAATCTCAAGGACAATTATTACAGCCTATGTTTTCAAAGCATTCTATTTAGAATCACGTGTAAATATCTGCATGCAACTGATTTAAAAGTCCAACACTAAGGAGAAATCCAAATGTAAAATTTCACTTGTGCAAATGCAATCCAGCGCATCCTGATTTTCTTCCCAAATGATATAGCTTTCAGGGGAGGATCAAAGCTTCAAAGACCTGAAGGCTGTAGCCCATAACACTCCCACTACCCTCCAGGGAAAGAGGGAACTTACTGTGGCGAGTTTCTCAATGTAATCATCCGGTGCACCCAAGGAGGCGAGGCCAATTTCCTGTAATTGTGAGAAACAGTCATTGGCATGACTGGGGTCTGTTGATCTTCAACCTTTATCCTCAGTTTCAACCCTGAACTTGACCACAGAATGGTGCTGGTTGGCCACATGCCTTCAAAGAGCCTAGAGGGACCCTGCTTGTTCTGCCAGGTCTTCCCTAACCACACATCACAGAATCACAGATCTCTAGAGTGGGGAAACCATTCCCCAATAGTCAGTCCTTTGTATTCACTTTAAATTGTTGTTTTCCTTTATTGATTTTAGAGAGAGAGGAAGGGAGAGGGAGAGAGAGATAAAAACATCAATGAAAGAGAACATTGATTGACCACCTCCTGCATGCCCCCCACTGGGGATCGGGCCCACAACCTGGGCATGTGCCCTGATCCAGAATCGAACCAGTGACCTCTTAGTGCATGGGTCGATGCTCAACCGCTGAGCCACACCAGCCGCACTATATTCACTTTAGAGATGAGAAAACTGTGGCTCAGAAAGGGAAGATGGCCTGCTCAAGGTCACACAGCACTCTGTGTCTGAAGCTCCATCTCTTGATTCCAGTTCATGATTATTCTCCCACAGCAGAAGTGGAGCATTCCTGGAGTACCAGGTGACTCTTAACCATACACCCTGAAGACACCGCAGGAGAAGTGCTTGACAGCTGTCCAGGTGTTTTATAGTTGGAGAGTCTGAAATGCCATGGACCACTTCTCATCACAGCTTCAACTGCAAAATGTTTCTAGTGGTCTCTTTGTCTCTGTTACAGCACTTGCTTCAGCATGCCTTGTCTATATTAACTAATATATATATATATATATAATATATATAAAATAGTCTTCCCTACTGTGTGCATTCATTGTCTTCCCTACCCTAGGCATTCATGCATTGCAAAAATATTAACCAAGTGCCTTCTGTGTGGCTAGAGGTATACAAAATTGATAAAGATCCTTTATCTTATGGTGTTTACGTTTGAGTGGGTAGAAACAGACAACAAATAATAAGCAGATACATGAGATTGCCAGAAGGTTGTAGGTGCTTGAGAAGGAAGAACAAGAGGACAAAGTGTCAGAGTGCCAGGAGAGGTGGGGATCCAGGAGTGGTTTTAAACAGGGTCCCAGGGTAAGCATTGTTGAGATGATATTTGAGCAAAAACTCGATGAATGTGAGGTTGCTGGCTCTGCAGACACCTGAGGGAAGAGCATTGTGTAGGCCAAGGGTACAGCCAGTGAAAAGCTCTCTAAGGAGGGGACACTCAGCTGCCTCCAGGAACAGAGAGGTACCAGTGTAGTTAGAGCACAGCAAGAGGGTGTGGGGAAGGGCAGGTGATATCAAATAGGAGTCTGGAGCCCAATCGTGTAGGACCTTTTGGGTTATTTAGGGCTTAAGATTGTCCTTGCGGTGAAATGGGGAGTCGTTACAGAGCCTTGAGCAGAGGAGTGGCAAGATCTGATTTATGTCATCAAAGATTCACTCTGGCTGCTGTGTGAGAACAGGCTGTAGGGGGTCAAGGGCAGAGGCAGGGAGACCAGTTAGGAGTCTACTGCAGTCACCAGGATGAGAAATGATAATGGCTGAGACCAGGTTAGTAGCAGTGAATGTAATGGGCAATGACCAGATTCTACACATATTTTAAAGGTACAATCTTAGAATTTTCTGAAAGATTGCTTGCAGATAGGGGAGATAGAAGGGAGTCAATGGTGTCCCAAGTACTTTTGATTTGAGAAACTGAAAAGACAGCGTTGCCATGAACTAATATAGGGAGGACTGTGTGTTGAGACTGTTTGAGCAAGAAGATCGGGAATTCAGTTTGGATGGGATGAATCTATTACACATCCAAGTGGGATGCTAATAGGTGGTTGGATATGTAAGTCTAAGTTTTAGGATTAAAGATTGGGGTGGAGATATAAATGCACTTGTCATCAAGGTAGAGATGGTATTTCAAGCCATGAAATTAGGTGATATAACCAAGAAATTAATGTAGATAGAGAGAGGGACTAAGAATTGGGCCCATAATGAAGAAAGAGGTTACATGATCTTCATCTCTGTATTCCTGCCTGGGCCAAACCCACTACCTGGCTTAGGCTACATACTGAGAAAATGCTGTCTCATTAGAAAGAGCCACACTTGGATACTGACTTACCCTGGTTCTGCCCCTTCCCTATCTCTGCTCCACACATGCCACAGTCTTAAGTCTACCAAAACCGTTGATAAATCCAAGATCAAAATAGTACCCTGTTCTTGTAGTCACCATTCTTTGTGAGCCTAGAACAAGGGGTCCCAAGATTTCCCTGTGCTCCATCCACACCTCATCTTTCACTCTGGAAGAAAGCAAGCCCTGCCTTTAAATCGAAAAGGAATGTGCTCAGGGAAGCTTCAGAGTCGCTCTCTGCCTTGGGACTGTCCTGGTCGAAGATGAAACCAGGTGACACTCATGTCCCACAGTTTCCGTCTCAGTCTCTTAACTCGGGTAACTGTCTGCTCCCCTGTGGGGCTCCTCAAAATGGAAATGGCTTAAAGAAGGTTGCTACTGAGCCTCTGACTGGGCAGAGTAGCTTCTGATGGTGAGAACAGGAAGTTCTACTCTCTGAGAAGAAAACTGACTCATATTTGGCCATAGTAACCAATCCCTGTTTTAAAGTTTCTCAAACAATCACGGACACCCTGGCAGCATGAACCACACTTCTGAAAGTCAGCCGGTCAGCCACAGAGTCCGGTGGTAACACTTCCACAGTTAAAGTTCAACTAAACCTTAAACACTGCCCCTTCTAAAAATCCAACAGTCTCTGAACTCCACAATTCCCAGAACTCTATATAAAAGCAACAGTTTTCTGCCTGGGCAGTGTGGCTTGGTGGATTGCTCATGGTCCCATGGACTGAGAGGTCCTGGTTTGATTTCTGGTCAGGACACATGCCCGGGTTGCAGGCTCGATCCCCAGTAGGGGGTATGCAGGAGGCAGCCGATAGATGTTTCTATCTTTCTTCCTTCCTCTCTCTCTAACAAATCAATAAAAACATATTAACAATAAAATTAATAAAAATAAAAGCAACAATTTTATTTGTTTGGAGAAGGCTGTGTCTTACAAGTACAGCTCTGTCTTACTTAGCAAGCAATTAATTCAGCTTTTTGTTTGTTTATTTGTTTCAGATATTAAGTGGTAGCCTCTTCATTCAACAGGAGATATATTTGTTTCTTTCAGTTGCTTATAAAATTCACACACAATTCAATAAAATTCTTACTTGGTCCAGCATTTGCTTATAGGTCATTCCGTTGGATCCTCTTTATTTTGTGTGTGTGTGTGTGCGTGTGTGTGTGTGTGTGTATGTGTGTGTCAGGATGACTTTTCATTGACCCACATATGTGGCGACTGAAGTACAGGGCAGCCTGGCAAGGCAACCTTTCTCGGGTCACACAGCTGATTGGTGGCCTGGTGAGGCCTGTGTGCGCATTGTCATTCAACAATCTCGTGATCCCAGCTATCCAATGATTCTAGGTTGCTTCTCGGAGCCAGAGAGCATGAGTAGGATTCTTCCACTGATTTCCAAAGCATTTTTTTGAATGTGGTCATCACTTTGATAGAGGAAGCAAAATCTAGTCTGTTGTTTTGACAATAGTTGTAAGACATTTGGCTTATTATTGTTTGCCAACTCTGAGTAGGGCCATTGGCATTGGATTCTTGGCAAATGTCATCTTACATAGTGAAAGCATATACCATATGACTGCTTGACAAGGTACGGTTACTTGTGACAAGGTATGTGGGAATCAGGGAGCCGTACATGGATGAAACGTCTCTTAAACTACACCTGGTAGGACAGGTGAGATTTGCAAATTCGAGAGTATAACTCAGAGGACGGGGGATTCACCAGTTCCACGCTGTGGTCTCTGGAATGGGCATCTAACTGTCCCCATGAAACCACACAGCCGCTCAGGTGGGAACACAGATCAGGCCCTTCCAGAGGACGTGAGGGGCCTCCATGGGATCTATCGATCTGAGCAAACCAGATCTCAGCCCCGTAACCGGAAGGCTAAAGAGATTCGCTTCTCACCTGGGAAAACTGGGCAAAGCTGCGATCTGAAAACAAGGGCACGTGTCCCAGCAGCTCGTGGCAGATGTCACTGAAAGACAGAAAGCACCAGACTCAGTCTTTCTACGTGAGGAATGGGTGCGAAGAAAGGAAGTAATTCATTCAGGCTCACGACCTCACTTCCAAGAATAAGTGCTGTGGGAACCTCAGGACTAGTGAAGCGAGTACAAGAGAAAAGGAAGGAGGGGAAGGAAGGAGCAGGCAGGGCACAGCAACCAGGGCAGTTTAGGTGTGTGCCCAGGGAGGTGCCGAAGAGCAGCATTTCTGTGGGCATCCTCCCATGCACCTGAGTGAGCTGTGGCTCAGGAACACTTCCCACCCCAAGTCTTCACCTTGGCATTGACATTATTGGGCAGACACAATGTGCTCAGTTATTCCCATTTTTTAAAAAATAATTTTTAATAGTAACATTCCTCTCTCATTCTAGAGTGGGCAGCAGTCAGTCAGGGAAGAAAACTGGCATTGATTTAGCATCAAGAACAGGCCTTTTCACTTATAATAATGAACTTTGTAGGCAGAGAAAGACCTGCTGACTTTTTGATAAACTGCTTAAGTTCTAGCTGCCTAAGAAGATAGCGAAATGCCCAGGTAAACAGCATAGCAGCCAAAACACCTCTACCTCCAGCCAAAACACAATCTAGGCAAAGGAAGCTCAGAATCATCTGGGTTTGTGTTTGGGAGGTGTTGAGATCATTTGCCACCTCCTTTTCCTGTTCCCCATCGGCACGTCATAGCTCTGACCCCTACAATGCCTTTGGAATTTGAATGTGACCTCTCATTCCCATGGCCAGGGAGGTCTGAGTCTTTGGCTCACAAAATGCCCAAATCTTCAATCAGTATGATCTACTTGGCCAGAGGAAACCCCTAGAAGAGATGAGTTTCTCCCTTAGTATCAAACACTCCGACAATCCATGCAACTTGTTCTATGGATCAGTCCCCGGTGAACTCAGCCTTGTCCCTGGATCGGGGAGAGGCGTCATGCATTGCCACTGGCAACTGGTGGAGGGAGGACAGTACTCACGGTTCGGGTGTATACATGGGCTTGGACCCATGTCTGATGTACTGGGTACAGTGGAAGACCCGGAAGGCCAGGCCACCCAGGAAATCCCGAGAGGAGAGCAGGCCAGCCACAGGTCGGAGGCGGAAGCCAGTGCAACCTAAGAAAGAGGGAGAAAGAAAACGCCAAGCCCATCACAGCAGAGCCAGAGGGACCTGAAGACCTCTACATTCGCACTGGCCTCCACGTCCGTCCCTCCTCCCCCCGCCCCTTTCCTTCGGCCCCAGTGCACTTACTCTGCAGAAACTGAGAAACGTCCTCCAGCTGGGGGATGTTGTCTTCGCGGAAGCCACAGTACTTTTCCAGAAGCGGGAAGATGTGGTTGTGCTCGTAGCAAGCGTGGGTCTTATACAGGGACTTCAGGGTCCTGAACACTGTGCCCCATGTCTTCCTTTCCTCCTCCGTGTACTCCACTCGAGGGATGGGCTGCCCACTGGAACACAGGCACGAGACGTTGGGCAGGGCCGGCGCACGGCGGCGGATGAGGGCCATGCGTCCGAGGGCTGTGAACTGCCACCCCGGACTCCAGTGGATTTCACAAGTCGTTTGAAAGGGAAATTCCACTTCTCGACGGAGGAGACAAGCAGCTGGTTCGGTTAAGCAACAATACAAGGCCTCACCTTGTCCACTGTACCGAGGATTTGCCGTCACACCGGGAACTCACTTGGCCTTTCTGCTCTCTTATCTCCACTTGTTTAGGGAAGGTGGACATTCACTTACCTTCAGGGGCCGGGCAGATGCTGTGAATGTGCAAAGGAGCCGGAATAGACAGTAGGAGGGTGGGGTTGAGACAACTGAAGAATGCATCCTCTCTCCACACAAAGGCATCCAAGCTCAATTAAAGCATCCAAGTTCAATGAAAGTTTGTATTATGTCAACTACAGCAATTGTCTGTGAGCTAATGTGGGTTTAATATGTGCACCGTGAGTGGGAGACCCTTGTGTAGTGGGCATGCACTTGCTGGATTTGATATTTCGGCCCCTGAAAAGTTATCAAGGTTTTCAAAGACATGCTAGGTATCAGATCTGTTTCCCTGGCACCTTCCACTGTGACCTAACAGGACTGCAAGGAGCTTACTGAAGTACGGATGTTGGCCCTGCCCCGTAGATCCTGAACCTGTCGGGGAGGGGAGGGCCCAGGCATCTGGATTCCAGCAAACTCCCAGGTGACACGCTCTAGTTGGAGAGTCATTCAATTGAAAGGTTCTTTTGAGAACTATCTAAGAACGAGCTGTGTTCTGAACAGTGAAATGAAAGCAAACCTGATTTCGAAGACCAGTGACTATTCTGTGGGCTGCAGGCCTATTTCCAGCAGATACACAGTGTTTGGGAGAAGGAGAGTCTGCTTATCTCAGAACAAGGGCTCCTCCTCATCAGCTCCACTCTAAGCGACTCCTGTGACTCCTGCCTTTTCAGAACTGTAGCTCATCCAAGGACGGAACAGCTACGTCACTGCTGTGGTCTACAGAAATGTGGGCAGGGACTAGGGGGAAAGGGCAGATTTCTGCTTAAGCTTTGAAAGCAAGACAAGCTCAGAAGGTCCGATCATGGCCAGCAGGGATTTTAAAAAGGGCATCAGGTAAAACCCACACCTGAGGATGTACCATTATTTCAGAGCTAAGTGCTAATGAAGGAAAAGAACAAGCTTTGGAAACTAATAGAGTTGGGTTCAATACTTGGCTGTATCGTTTCAAGCCAAATGGCCCTGGGAAATTTAGTAAACCTCTCTGAACCTACCCCGTGCAGCTGTTTCACGGGCTAACTATTTGGAGACACGTTTTATCCACTGATCAATACGCTGGGATTCTATGATTCATGATGCAAGAGTTTAATCCCCGTGCGAAACAATTACGGAGAAGGTGCCAGGGACCCGAATGTGGGGGCTGTTGGCATGGTGGAAGCCAAAGACGAGGGCAGAGTTGAGACCTGAAAGATGTTAGTTTCTGGGATGAGAGGGACTGGCCAGAGGAAACCGAGAAGAAGCTTCAGAAAGGAAGGAGAGCAGTCAGCAGAAAGTAAAATCTACGGAGAAGTAGTCTCCTGACTCCGAGCTCCCAGACACCCGGGGAAGTGATCGAGCATGACTTGGGAGTTAAGCCTGAGTCCGAAACCTTGCCACCTGCTAGCATGTGACTTTGGCGAGGTACTTAACTGTTTTAAGTTTTAGTTTTCTCATCAGGAGCATGGGGACCTGCTATTAAGACATAATGAAATAACACCAACAAAGCATTTAGCAAAGCCCAGACACAGCAGGGAGATAATAAATGTGATCTATTATTACTGATTAGCTGAAGAAGGACTCCTGTCTATACCTGACTTGATGGTGGCCACCTGACCATGCTGGGGAAAGATACGGACAGGAGAGAGAGGGCACCAGGCTCTGTGATTTGCCTCAAGTCAAAACCCACATGTGCTAGGCCAAGGTCAGCACCAACTGGATCCTTCCTACCAGGAGTCACTCAGAGAAGGACATCTTCGCATTTGAAAGGTGACTTTGTCTTCAGTGTACAGAGCCCTATCATCTCCTTCATCTCCCTCTAGGCTAACAAAGCTGTTGAAGATCCATCACTCAGGGTTCCTTCTTGCCCACGTCTTTTTTCTTGCTCTTAACTCAGGGATGGAGCTCAGACCCTCAGACACTAAGTCTCCCGTGGGACCATCTCGAACGTTCCTGAGGACTCAAAATAGCACACCAGTTCTCTTCCAAAGAATATATTCAATATGTGCATTTTCCTCTGGCTAAAAGGAGGGAGACTAGGAGCATGGAGCCCCAGATGAAGGGAAAAGACGCTCATCCGAAAATCGCCCTTTGCTGCGGGGTCAGATCGGATGGAAGAGGAACCCGGAGGCTGGCTTGCCTGTCTATACCTGACCTGATGCATTATGACTTGATGCCCCTCACAAGATGCATGATGTCAGCAAAGCAGCCAACTCCTTCTGGAATGTAAATGACTCTCCTTTCCCTTCATCCATGTTTAATGTGGAGAATACCAGAAGCTCTTTTATTCAGGACTGAGGCCTTTTATAATTGCTTCAGGCATCACTGCATAATTATACAGTGAAGCTTGGGAGGGAGCTGGCCCCAGTGCACTGGGTAATTTTGTTTTGTCTAGCAGCATTTTTTTTAGCAGGTGTTATTAAAGGGAAGGTCTGCAAGCGCGCGCGCGCACACACACACACACACACACACGGCAGGACTCTCCATGCAGGTATTTTTCACCTTCGGGCAAGGGAGAGACAACCACCAAAGCAGACTTACTGTCGGTAGTTGTAGGCGATGTCAGCAAAGTACTTCCGTCGTGCTCGGTACACGGGATCTTTGAAACCCTAGGAGAAAGAGACACCTGCTATCCCAAGGTTTTGGAGGGAGAGGACTGGCTTATCTCTGCACGCTCTGAATGGCAGCCCTTGAGCTCAGACCACGCACCTCTCATGCCTTGACTGCACCCTGAAATGAAAGTCTCAGTTACACCGGGGGTAAGCTCTCCCACTAATACGATGAGTGACACATTAGCAACACCCTTAACTCAGTGTGAGCCTCTGCGCCATGGGATTCCCGAGTGCAAACAGTGTTCGGGTTTTAAAGAACTCTCATCCGTAGCATTTCTCACTTGTAAACTTGCTGAATTAGGCCAAGCCAGTAGGATGGGTGTCTATGATGAAGATACACAATGTCCACTAAATGTCTGACTAACGGTCCGTGTCTGGCACCGCCTCCTGGCTTCCTGCCTACATACTTGCTGCCACTGCAATTTTTTAAAATGCCCTTTATTCCATGCCTACTCTGTGCCAGTCTGTGCGTGCTAGAAAGTTATTTTATTTATAAGTCTCACAACAAATTTGTAAGGTAGACTATTTTGAAGAGGCATCTGCACTCCCATATTAATTGCAGCATAATTCACAAAAGCGAAGGCATGAAAAGAACCTAAGGGTTCACTGATGGGTGAATAATATTTCATTACACATACATATTTATTCAGCCATAAAAAAGAAGAGGGGCCTTGGCTGGTGTGGCTCAGTTGGTTGGGCATCGTTCTGTGCACCAAGAGGTTGCTGGTTTTATTCCCAGTCTGGGCACATGCCCAGGTTTCAGGTTCGATCCCCAGCAGGAGGTGTGAAAGAGGCAGACGATTGATATTTCACTCTCACATCGATGTTTCTTTCTCTCTAAAAAACAATTTTAAAAACCTTAAGGAAAAAAAGAGAAAATCTTCTGACAATATGGTGAACTTCGATGATGACATACTAAGTGAAAAAAGTCAGACAGTGAAAACAAATACTGTCTGATCTCACATATGTGTGTATGTCTTGAGAAGTAAAAAAGTCCAAGTGTTTCACACTGGAAAGGTAAAGTAAAATTACCACACCTTTTTTCATTCCAAACCTAAGTTCCACATAAGTTAAGTAATTATCAGTTTAGAAGAGATTCTATGACATGGTTATTACAAAGCATAACTCGATTTGCCTAAAGCATTAAATGGTTTTGAATCATTAATTGCAGGTAGAAAAGCTTAGGAATCTGAAAAATTAGAACCTACCATTGGGTCTACTTCTTCTGGGAGAAGATGAGTTGCTTTGAGATGATGTGGGAAGAAGACTGGGCACCGTAATTTGATTTCCAAGCAACACTAACATACCTCTTATGAACCTGTCTACTGGGCTAAAGGTCACATCTCCATACTGAGAACTCAAAATACAAGTTCAATGGCTGTCAGTCATCAAGGCTTGACCGAGAGAGCCACCCTCACCTACCTGTATCATTTAACAGCCAGTAGTGAATGGCTCACACAGCCCCTGAGTATGAAGCGTAGGCTTTTGCACTTGCAAGTTGCCTTGGAGAACATCTATTTCTATATTTTGATCTGGACCTAAGGAAGGTGCAGCTTGGAGAGCCTTTGCCCAAGAACCCTTAACTACAGAACCAGGACCTCCTCTTGGGTTTTCTGGTCCTACCCAGACTGGTGAGTGCAGGTGTGAGGGTTGAGGCAGAAAACCAGGAAGACAAGAGAAGAGTCCTCTGAACCCACGAATTTTCACCTCATCTTGCTGCCTCCAAAAATGGGGAGCCCATGATGATGTCTATTCCCTATTGGACTCTTTAGCTTTCATCTGTAACGTATTTTGTCTAGGTGGTTTAACTATTGCTCTATCAGTGAAAAAAAAAAGATTAAAATAAACGTGTACCCAGTAGGCATCAACTATGTCAGAGGGAATATATGAGGGGCATGATGGAAGAAATACACCAAAGCCTAACAAATATTATGAAAAACGAGAAATAGCCACTGTTTTATCCTTGTACACTATTTCTACTTTGGAAGTTTTCTGCTGTGTGTAGGGGGTGATAGTGAGCATGCAGTAAAACAATAGTAACAATCCATCTCAAATCACTATGGGAAGTGGCAGCAGATTCATCCATGGAGATACATCCACACACACATATGTACACTAATCACACCGGTTTTCTCTGTGGGATGGTTTCGAACATGGTCCTTTCAGCTCAAAGTGGCTAACGAGTTCATCGTTAGCCTGCAAGGGGACCCCGGCAGCTAGGCTGCATAGACTTCGGACTTGGCGCTCGGTTACCAGGGAAAGGGAGCCGGCACCTTTGGGCTGCCGGTGACCACAGGGCCTCAGCACCATGTGGAATACACTCTGATTAAGCTACAGCTGGTGAGCACTAATCACCCTGTCTCAGTTAGACTAATAGCAGAGATGTCAGTAGACTGCTTGTGATTTATTTATAATCACCCTGTCTCAATTAAGGTAATAACAGCAATTTCAGTTGCACTGCGGGTGACCGAGTATGTTTTGACAAGAAAATACATTGCTGGTGAAGAAGTGATGAGGGGAAGGGAGAAGAGGGAGGCAGAGGGAAGAAAGGAGAGAGAATTCAACAAGGTACAAGGTCTACACACGACCACTCTCCTTCCTCTCAGAATTTCTGTTACCTGATCGCTGAAGCCTGTGATTTTGTTTTTGTGGGGGGAAGGTTGCTAAATAGAAAAGCCTTCTGAGTATTTTTTCTAGACAGAGATCTTTAGGTCCTCAATTTTTATTATCATGGCTAAGGTTAAACCTCAGAAATGGTATCTTTAGTCAGACAGGCTAGAACTAATATATAATACTGAATGCCAACTGTAATTTAAAAAAAAATAAATAGAGGTGCCCTGGCAGGTTTGGCTCAGCGGTTAGAGCGTCGGCCTGCGGTCCACAGAGACCTGGGTTCGGTTCCCGCTAAGGGCATGTACCTCGGTTGCAGTTTGTCCCCGGCCCTGGTCGGTCGTGCGGGTGGAAGCCACTCGATGTGTCTCTTCATGTCGATGTTTCTCTCTCTCTCTCTCCCTTCCTCTCTCTCCCTCCCACTCTACCTGAACAAAAAAATGGGAAAATGTCCTCTGGTGAGGATAAATAAATAAATAAATAAATAAATAAATAAATAAATAGAGGTAAAATTTAACCTAAAAAAAAAAAAAGATCAGACAGGCTGGGTTGGATTATTAACCCATTCTGTCACTAGGAGAATGGCCTGGGGCTGATCACGTCACCTCTCACAGCCTCAGTTTCTCCATCGGTAAAACAAGGTTCATGGTAGCCACCTCACCGTGTCGGGCAGATTAGATCAAGTAAAACTCTGCGTATAAAGGAGACGCTGAAAAAATGAGGCCTTCGTGCACAATGGTGGAGAATCCCAACGCTGCGAAGTCTGGTTCGGAGAATTAAAACGATAGACTCTGGAATGGCCACTGAGCCCCATCGCCCATCCGCGGGCTTCTTAAATGGCCTCTGTAGAATTCTTGCCTTGCTAGTTACAGTTCTCTCGGCCGGCAGTGAGCGCCTTTTTGCATCCTATTAGTCCCACGACAACTGAAGGAAGGACGGTCCACCGGACAAAGGCGGCACGTTGTGGTGTGTCTACCATAGCCATCCGGTAGACACGGGCCAGAGATCTGCAAGCCAGGGCACAAAGGCAGTGCTGACCGCATCCCCTGCCCTTGCCCACTCTGTGCTGTCAGCCCTGGTCGCCACCCAGAAGGCCAAGAAGCCCGTGCTGGTAACAGTGTAGACCCCTGGCTGCCCAAGCCCGGGCGTCATTGTTTTCCTTCTCTCCTCCTCTCTTCCTTCACATCCAATCATTAATTGGTGTCCATTTTTCCTTTCAAACATCTTGCGTCTGTCCTTGTTGCTTTATCCTCACTGTTACACCTTCATCGAGGCCTCCATCATTTCTTGCCTGGACTACTGTGACTTTTCTTTGTCTCCCCTCCAAAACCACCTTTCTTCCCTTTAGCCCAAGTCGACTTACAAGATCCAAATCTGGCGGGGTTACTTCCCTTCTTAAACACTTCCCGTGGTGTCTCTTCCCTTTTAGAATACAATCCAAGAGGCTCAGACTGGCCCGCAGGCTTTATGGGGTCTTGCTCTGCCTACCTGTCCAACTCTGCCGAGCTACAGCTGATCACTTGCTGCGTCTCCAAATTTGCCCAGATTGGTCTTATTTTAATTCTTTAAACACACCATGCTTTTCCCCCCCACACTGAGGCCTTCACATATTCTGTTTGTGCCCTCTGATTGGAATACTCTTCCTCACTCTCTCAGACCAGTAAACTCCTACTTGGTCTTTCCATCTTGGTTTAAACTGCACTGTTAGAGACCTCCCTCGATTTTTCTAGTTTATCGGTTTTCCTCCACAATACGCTCCCTCAACAACCTGAGTGTTTCTCCTTCAGACGAGCATGGTGCTTGTCAATAATGATTCAGCTCAGGAATCTGTTTGTCTTACTGACCACTGGGTTTTCTGTGCATGACACACTCTGCATACTCCTAAGTAAGAGCTGTTAAAAAATCATGCAAAACTGAGGCGAAGCAAAGGTTACGGCGTGCCCTTTCAAAGTCCTGGCAGATCCCTGTCTCACAGGCTCACCGTGTGCTCCAGGGGCAAGTTTGTTTGTCTGATGTGCAGTTTACTCCCTAGCAAGGCTCCGCCTCTTCAAAGTTGAGTTCGGACTTACAGAAGAGGGGTACATTGCAAACGATTTCTTTTATGATCCCGCTGCAAGATGACTTCTGTCCAAAAGAGAACGCTCACCGTTACAGCTTTATTGCCTCCTAGGACATGAGTCATTTGTGCAGCGATCTCTGAGATCTTAACCCAACGTTCTGGCTTTCAGAGACCACCTACACTTGGGTCTCTTGTATCCTCCTTTGCACCATCTTGTCATCTTTCTGGGGCCCTCACTCCTGGGTCCATGGATCTTTGACAGATGTTCACTATCTACCTGTATGGCAGTTGTTTCTAACTGTTTAAAACTTACACTTTGACAGAGCAACTTAGTAGGAGTGCAACAAGTCATTGGTGACTCAGATGGCCGGCTGACCCACAGAATAGCTTCAGAGAGGTTCTTGGGCGGAGAAGGTTGGGTGGGTGGAAGGAAGAAGAATGGAGAGAAGTATCAGAAATATAGTCCTGGTTTCAGGGAAGAGCAGGCTCTTTTTGTCAAGTAGAAAAGTTTACTACTTACACCTTGAAAGACTGAAAAGCAGTTTGAGAGATTGGATGGAGAACAGAAATAAGCCCAGAAGAACAGTTGTGCGGGCTGACATTTTCTCCACCACAAAGCCCTCCAGCGCAGGTCCTCGTGTAGACACAGGTGCAGGTGTTGGGGAACTGACCTAGAGAGCTCAGGGGAGGGGGGATCTGTGGGGTAGGGACTGCTGGTGCCCCCTTCCCTCTTTCTGAAAATATTGCTAAACTGCTTTTCTCCATCTCCTTTGCAGTTCGTTGTGGCCCTGTGACTGAGCTGCAGCTCACGGAGTTTGAGTGAAGGGATATGAGTCACCTTCCATCCTGACCCACACACACCTCCCAAGAGGACCTGTCCCTGCCTTTTCTGTGCACGGTGCTCCCGGGACTTGGGGGAGGTGTGGACATTGTGTGGAAGGAGACCTGGTCTCTGCAGCAGTGTGTGGAGAGATTTCCCTACTGACTACACTGGAGATAAATGTCCCTTGGGTTAAGCCATGGAGATGGGGGAATGCTTGGCAGGTAGGCAGCCGCCCCTGGTTGCTGGAGTGTTTAACCCCCTGCTTCCGAAGTACTCCTTACCCATCCCACCCACAGTGACCCCCACAGTGAGGGAAGAGCTGAGAGCAAATGCCACACTGCTCACGACACCTAGTGTTCAATTGTGTGCCTGTTTGCTTTATGATTTAATCAAATATTACCCAAACTGTATTCCTAATGCTACCATTCAAGATAACGTTGCTAGGGGTTAACACACAAACAAAATAGATCCCGAGACGTAGAAGCAGGGACAGACTGACAGACCTCAGGGGGAAGGGGGCAGGGGGGAGGAAGACAGAAACCGAAGAACTTACATGCATGTATGCACAGCCCAGGGACACAGAAGAGAGTGTGCTGAAGGGGTGGGGCGGGAATGGGGAGGAGGGGGTGTCAATGGGAGAAAACCGGGGGACGTCTGTAATGCTTTCAATCATAAAAATAAATTTAAAAAAATAAACAAAAGGGGTTCCATGGGTAAGCTTTGAGAGACATGAGGTTCAACGGGTTACGTGGCTGCAGGACTTTCCAAAGCTGCTAGTGAGACCGTGGAGCTTGTAGATGCTGAAAATGGAGCTCCAAGCCCACTGTGTCTCCCCCTGCTCATGGCATCTGTCACAGACGCCAGTTCAGGACGCATGTAGGTGTCCCTCTCATTTGCATATGTGCCTCATGCCTCCTACGAGGTTATCACAAGTCATGAGTAGTGCATTTATTTTGACCTGATACTGTGTGCTCAAAGTATCCATCCCGGTGTACACAGTCCTACAGCCTGAGTGTGAAAGACGCTGGGCCCGGGGGACAGGCAGGTGGAAGGCCCTAGGGAGGCCAAGATGGAGGAGTTGGGCCTTAAAAGTAAATAAAGGTCTTCCCGCAGGGACAGGGCCTCTGGGGGGTGGGGAGCGGGGTAAAGAAAAGCATCCCCTGCAAAGGACACATCGTGGACCGAGCACAGAGGCTGAGGACGGCTGGAGAAAGGAGAGTCGCTTTTGGAGATGGAGATCAAGCAGACACACTTGGATTCTGCTGGCCAGGCTTACGGCTGCACCCCAGTTCCCTCTGCCACCCCTTGGGGAAGTCACCCCTCCTCCCTCAGCTCTGCGGCTGGACGCGCCTGGCGGGCAGGAATCACGTCCCATCAATCATTTCGAATCCATCTCTGCATGTGGCCTGGAACACAGTTCACAGACACGCGAGGACATAGCCTTCTCTGGCTGAGATTTCTCATCTGAAAACGAGAGAGCACAACCCTCCCAGGGGCCAGAACATTTCCATTTGTAAAATGCAGGTAAAGCCTTTAGCACAGTGTCTGGCACACAACCCAGGCTCCGGAGGCAGAGGCAGGAAGGGGACAGGGGTGGAGGGAAGGTGGGCCGGACAGAGAGCACAGCTATCTTCTTTCATGTCTCCCAGGAGAAGCCCCTTCTGGAACAGCCCTTCCCTGGCTCCATTTTCCAGGACAGCTGCGCTGGAGGCCCTGGCGCTGGCGATCGGGTCAAGCACCAGTGCCTACTGCCAAGAGCAGGGGCCAGGCCAGACGAGCCCCTCCTGAGCGCAGGGGACAGGGCAGAACAGAGGGTCCCTTCCGGAGGAACACCCGCACCTCGGCTCCGGCCCGGAGGGCTTGCTCCGTCCTTGGCCCGGCAGTTCCCAGATCTGATGGGAAGCCATGAGAAAGAACAGAGAGAGCCTGGCCTCGGCCTCGGGGGGACTGTGTACCTGATAAATCGTATTTTTATGATAAAACTCAGGACACTGAGAGGCCAGGGAGCCAAAGATGTGGGCTGGGTCTGTCAGGAGAAATTAATTCCAGAGTTTTAAGATCAGCCCCGTCACCAGGACAGAGCGGGGAGATGGCCATGTCTGTGGACTGGCCTCCCCCTCCACATGCCCAAGTGACAGGCTGTAGCCAACGGAAGGGACGTGGGTCAGGGCAAGGGTACAGGAGGTTGATAAGAGCCCAGGCTGGGCTGCTGCTCCCCAGGACTCTCCATCCCAGAGAAAAGGAGAATCAAATCTCCCCACCCTGGTCCTCTGCCAGGAGCTATTCAAAGACCCACTCCCCTGTCCGCAGGGCACAGGGCACGGTCCGAGTTCTCCATCTGGGACGTCAGACATCGCAAAGTCTAATCCTCATACCTGTCACACGAACCAGCCATTCTAAGATGTTCCACGTACTCTCGGGACCCTGCGCCCTGGTTTATACTGTTTTCTCAGACAGTAATGCTTCCTGTCTCCGTATTTGACCAGAATCCCCCACTCAGCTTCCGAGATCAGTTCCAATGTCACCGCTCCCGCACCCCCCTGGCCGGCGGAGTTGTTGGTAGAGTTTACTGTTACCCCAAAACTCGAATTACACCTCTGTAACTGTACAAAGTCAGAGAAGTAAGATGACTTACATCTATGAGTGTGTTTGTGTGTGTCTCTGTATGCTTACATGCATGTATTATGCACAAACAATAGTTTCCAGATGGTAACCCGTGTTTGCTCCAACAATATGACCGAGCCTGATGATGATGATGATGATGATGATGATGTGTGAGCAGGAACTCAATAAATGATTACCGGACAAGCAAATAAAGACACATTGCTCTCAAGGGGTGATGGGAGTAGGATGGGGAGTGGGGAGAGAATCCCGTGGGGGCGGGCCACGGACTCACCGGGTGGTCGGCATCCAGTTCCGCCCCATAGCTGAGAATCTGGTTGGCAAATCTGTCCAGCTCTTGAATGGTCCTTGGGAACCAGGGCACTGCAACACAGAAAGGCCAAGTCCTGAGGCAGGTTGGCACGGCGTGGCCGAGGTCAGAGGCACGCCATCCGCCCCCACTCATCAGTGGTGGCCAAAGTGGGATTCCCAATAACCTGCACGTTGCTCTGATTCAAACACTGAATCCATTTTCTGTGAAAACGAATTTCATTTTTTTATCGCAGCTTTGTTGAAGTATACTTGATAACGTGGTAAGATATTTAAAGTGTACCTGATTGTGTGTATGCCTCTGAGAAAGCATTTCCCTCACGTTAGTGAACAATCGCACATATTTATCTTCCTTTGGAAAGAGGGGTAAGAACACTGGAGTTCTCTCTTGGCTAATTTCAAATCTACAACACAGTGTTACCAATCGTAATGCCCCCGTCACGCATCAGATCCTCAGTCCTGTTTACTTTATAGCTGAAAGCGTACTCGCTCTTACCATGTCCCTACCCCGCCCACCTCCGCCCCTGCCAACTACCATCTACTCTCTGCTGCTACGAGTTCACCTTTTTTCTTGTAGTCCCAAGTATAAGTGATACCACGCAGTATTTCTCCTTCTCTGTCTGGTTTATTTCACCTAGCACCTTGGAAACTAATTTTAAAACACATTCCCAAGCACATCCTCTTTCCTAAAGATACTCTCTGAATTACCTCGAAATCCATCTCCCTACCACCTGTCGTGATGGAGTGGAGCATCTCTGACATCTTTCTTTAGCAGCAGAATGTCACAGGTAGCCCCAGAATATAAATCAGATTCAACCAGGTCGTTCTATTGTCAGCAAGGATGTGCCCACGAGACCCCGTCTTCCTATCACCGGTCTCCCTCCCAAAGGCCCCCCAGCATCTGGCAAAGCCAACAGTGAGGCAGAATGAATGGAGTCAGGGAGTAGGATTTGAGGGTGCCTATCAGAACCCACGGATCTGTGGGCCTGTGTGTTTGGAGCAGCAGAGGGGGAGAGATGGGGTCTGAGCTGTGTGGCCTGCAGAGACAGGGTCCTGCAGAGGGAGGTACCCCGGGGAGAAGAGCAGGTGGTGGCACCCAAATCCCCGTGGCCTGCAGGAAAGAAGACCCCCTGGGGGTGGACTTGTCCCAGGAATGAACAGACACGAGGACATTTGGGCCTGTGAGGTGCCTGAGGGCAGGAACCACGAGCTCACTGTGGTTCCAGGTGCAGAGAAGGAGGAAAGGAAGGAAGGCGGGGATAAGGAAGGAGTCTGGTCACGTCAGCATGTGAGACATTAATAACAGTAACCATCACGCACGGAGCGCCGACTCTGGCTTAGTTGCTATTTCTGACGTATCTCTGCGATTAGGAAGCTATTATGACTCCTCTTGCACAGAGGAGAACTGAGAGTCTGAAAGTCTAAATAAGTAGTTTACGATGCCGCAGGAAGAAAGAACGTGGTAGACCCAGAAAATGTCAGCGGGCCTAAGTAGACAAGGTGGGGGGCTGTGAAGCGTGCCCAAGGCAACTCTCATTCCCCTGAAACGAGACTGAGGGGAAAGATGCCCAACTTGCAGTCAATCCGGTCTGGCTTCAAATCCAGGCTCCCTCCACCTACTGACCTTCGCTGTGCCTCAGTCCTAACTTTGTGAAAATGGCAATAATACGCAGACTAGCAAACATTTTTTGCGGCCTTACCATGCATGGGCCAGGTGAGGTGCTGAGCAATTTGGGTGGAATGCCTTTTGATATGGGGATTGCTGCGAGGAACACATGAGAATGTAGGCAAAGGGGTCAGCCCTGGATCTGGCCGGTAAAAGGTAGCTTCCAGCTCAGACAAGTTATTTCTGATTCTGGCCCAAAGGCTCAGGTCGGGGGAGAAAGAACATGCCTGCCATCTAGTGGCCAGACTGGGGAAATGTCATCCATGATCTAGACATTCCACCAAAACAAGATGCTTATCTCGACAGCATTAATAAAGGTTCATATAAAAATAAAATTAAAAAGATTCATCTAGACTCTAGATTCTAGAGCCTTGTTTCTATAGGTCTGAGATTCTAAGCTCTCTAATTCCTATGTGAGTAATAAAAACTAACACTGACTTCTAAATACTTTACCTATGAGGTGGGTACTATTGGTCTCCCTATACTACAAACGAGGAAACTGAGGAACAGAGAGGTTGAATGGCAAACCCCAACACACACTGCTATAAAAAAAAACAGGCCTGGCTGACTCTGTGTTCTCAGGTCTTGACCACAAATGCATCCCACCCCTTAGGGGATGGGGGCAGAGATCGCTGGTTTGGAGGGCTGGCCCTGTTACCTAACTGTCTTTGCAGCTTCCTGCCTGGGGGTTTCCATGACCCTAAAGCCCAGCCTGCTTCTCAGACTGGCTCCCCGTGATACTAATAACAGGAACAGACATGGGGGTAATCCTGGCTAATGCTGATACACCACTTGCTGTGTGCCCTGAACACGTTCACACACTTCGTCACCCAACCCACATCACAGCCAATGACATAGGTGATGTCATCACCACTTTACAGATGAATCGAGGACCAGAGAGGCTGTGTCTTTTCGCAGACCTCCATGGTCCCTCCTGCTGGACTTTGGAGTCCGCAACCACTCGGCACCATCCTCTGCCCACCAAGCATGAACCTGGCTGCCCACTCCGTCACCCGGACTTCTTCCTTCTGTAGTCAGCGCTTTGCCTTGGACAGTGGACGTCTGTTGTCAGTACTGGAAATGGGGTCTATTCCCTATCCACTGTAGTCAGCCACAGGGTCTCCTTGGAGACCATTCCTGTTTCCTGTCATTTTGCTTCTAAGGCATCCCCTCCCCACTCATTCATCGTCTCTTTTGCCTGGGAATAGTCTATAATCCCGGCAGTAACAGCTGCCCTCGGAGACAGGCAGCCAGCCCTTTCTGGCTGCATCCCCTCTGATTGTGGGAGCCTTAGATTTGCCAAAGGAGATTTCACAAATATGCACTGAGTGGCTACTGCTACTACCAGGCACTGGACATTGGGGGGTGAGTACAGTGGATTCATCGCCCCTGTGGTGCTTATGTTCTAGTAGGGGTCACAAAGAATAAGCAGTAAATAAATTTAAATATATAACAATGCCAGGGAGTTCTTGAAGAAGAAGAAAGCAAACTAAGGAGATGGAGAGGGATGGGGATTCTATGTTATATGACATCCTATGGCTCCAGACCCCAGGGGAGGGTCTTGGTGACTTGGCACTGCCTGCCATCCCTCAAGGGCATCTGGGATGGGCAGGTGCACTGAGTGCTGCTTGTCTCAGGAGAGCCAGTCCAGCGATGGTCAAGGGCCTGGCAGCAGAGCTGGGCAACCTAAGCTGGGATGCCATCTTCGCGCTTAAAATTTGTGGCACCCACAACAAATCATTAAACCTCTTTGTGCTTCAGTCTTCCTAGCAGTAAAGTAAGGATAATAATAACACTACAAAATAGTACTTTATAGGAACAGTATGAGGTTAAGTGAGTTAATATAGGTGATTTGCTGAGAGCAGTCACTACTGGTACATACTTAATACAGTTGACCCTTGAACAACACGGCTTTGAACTGCACGGGTCCATTTGCAGTGGATTTTTTCAATCAATACTGTAAATGTATTTTCCTTATGATTTTCTTAATAACGTTTTCTTTTCTCTAGCTCACTTAATTGGGAGAATATGGTATATACCACATATAACACAGAATATGTGTTCATTGACTGTTAGTTATTAGTAGAGCTTCTGGTCAACAGTAGGCTATTAGTAGTTAAGTTTGGGGGGAGTCCAAAGTTATACACAGACTTTCAACGGTGCAGGGCTCAGGAATTGTTCAAGGGTTAACCAGACTATGATGGTTCGGCTGCAAAGCCCCAGGGAATTTTATACTCTGCCCTGAGCGCAACAGAGCACAGGGAACAGACTAGAAGGTCTTCTGGCAAGGCTAGAAGACTTATGTTTTCTATACTTGAGCAAGTATTTTATCTCCCAGAGCCTTAGTTTCTTTACCCACAGGATAGACAAAACTATCGGGAAGGCAGCTCCTCACCACCACTCCACCCACGCCAACGACAAAAGCGACCTGTACTACTGCATTAGTACATGAATTCAATTAGCAAACGTGGCACATCTCAGCACAGTGACGATCCAGTGTTAACCACTAGGATGACCGAAAGTTTATGGTGATGATGCCCGTTAGGAAAAGATGGGGTGGGCAAGTGTGGGGGAGGAATCGAGACGGGAGTCAGGAAGCTGGTGGTCAGTCCAGCTCTAATGCTAACAGGCTTTCTAATCTTGGGGCTCAGTTTCCCTCTCCGTAAAAGGTGGGCTGCTGGATTCACTTGTTGCTGCGGTCCCGTTGGGGTCTCAGCCGGTGAAGGGCTGAGGCTGGCGGAGCCCCGGGAAAACACACTTCTGGTTCAGTCAGCGCGGCAACCTTGCTGGTGTCTGGAGGTACAGTCACTACATCTGTTCAGCTCCCAAATGCATGGCTCTACCATGTTCCTTTCTCCTCTCGCCAAAGGAACAGGGCTCTGGCCCCGACCCGGAGTCAAACCTCCGCTTGCTGGCTGTTTCTCAACTGAACGCCAGAGGGCAGCAGAACCGGCGTCTTTTCAGTTCTGGGTGACTTTTCTTTTTTCTTCTTTCTTTTTTTGTCCTCCAAAGGGAAAACTCTAGGACTTAGTTCAGACCTCCTGGAGCAGCGGAGGGGGGTGGGGGTGAGTAGAGAACTTGAGAAGTTGGCAAAGACTCATAGGATTCGAATTTTGGCAAAACTGAGTACGGCCCATGTACCAGAGGACCCCAGCCAGGACTAATGGTCAAAGGGAGTCCAGCAGCTGCCACCTTGCAAAGCAGAGACCAGGCTTAAGGAAGCGAGACCCCGGAGAGGTTGGGAATACGGTGTCTAGCTCCTGACATGCCTCGGTTTCTGGGGAAGAGGCCGACCTGAGCAGGTGTGTGAAGCAGGCTGTGTGGGGACCCCACGTGCTCAAGGGGAGACTGTAGAGGACCCCAGACAAAATCAGGACCGAGTCTTTAC